GTAAAAATTTTACCCAAAATATTAAATTTAGAGCTCGTTTTTAACCTCACTAGGTACCGGAGACGCAGTTTAACGGTGAAGAATTGTTTCTGCCTATATAAAATCCTTTTAAATGATGCGCAAATTTAAAATAATATTCGCTGAAAATGAAATTAAGTGCAATACATTAAAATAAATCGCAAGCATATAACGAGAGCTGATGATGAATCTCTACGTCTTTAGGCAGCTTGAATTTTCACCAAAATATCACTGATCGTAAAAAATAAGAGTTGCTGCTTTGAATATCCTGCTCGCTTGGTTGGAGAGTAAATATTGAGTTCAAATTTTAAGTAGCAGCTAGGATTAAAAATTTCACCTCATCAACACCAACAGTTAACAAATAAATTAACCTCACAAATTGGGCAAAATTGGAAATGATGAAAGCGGTCCATAATGGGTCGAAAAGGAAAGGAAGAGGGATGGACTACCGATATACTTTTGGAAAATTGCGAATGTACTGAAGCACTATACTCGGCTATGCATTGTTTAATGAAAGTAATAGATATGTTTGGCTTAGCGGCTATTTAATATCCTCCCACTTTTGGCTCGAGCAAACGTGAGCAGTCCGTTCCGCAAGTTGAAAATTGAGCTGTTAAGCTCGACCGTCACGTGTTGAGAGTCAAAAGTGTAGAATCAGGCTGATTATGTCCTACTCACTCCAGCGTTAAAGTCATAAAGACATGATTTATGATCGTTTCATCTGTTTAAACTGTTTCACACACCTACCGTAGCGTGAATGGTCCTACACTGAACTACACGCTAGTACAACATTTCATTCATCTTCCACCTGATTCTTCTTTTTCCCTCTCCTCCCCCCGTCATCATGCTCCGAACCGTCCGGAGATACTCCCGAGATTATTTCGCGAGCATTTTTTGGGGGATACAGCCCCCCTTATTCATTCCCACGCCCCTTCTCCTCTTCAAAGATCTAGAAAATTATTATCTAATGGATAGACTACATTTTGCAATCAGAAACTGCTATTTCCAACTCATTGTAGAAACAGCAAATGTGCCATTAGTCTCCTCGTGCAGATAGGGACTTTCTAGGGGCAGATGAGCCAGAAATAGTAGTTACTCATTGCAATACGCAGTCCAATTTTAAACCGCTGCATGCATGCCACTACATTACATGAATTTGAATATAAAAATCCTCAAATATTGAATTCATTTAAATATACCCTATGAAATTTCATAATAGCAAAAGTTTTGAAATTTAATTTCAGCATTGAAGACTACTATAACCGGAAATCTCCTCGATAAAGGATGATTTTTAAAGAAGAAAGTTTTCTGATGGGTGTTGATTTTTCATTCTCGACTCGAACAAATTTACGTCAAATTCATTTCCGTAAAGCCAGGTACAAATTTTAAAGTTTTGCTTGCCCTTGGAAATTTTTTAAAGGACATTTTGAATCATTTACTTAAATTTGAATTAATCGAGTTCTTGGTGAATTCTAAACAGAAATTATTAAAACCAAGGCAGAAGGGTAACACAGACCATTCATTTAGACTTTCTAAATGTCCAAACTTTCTGGGGCAAAAAAATTGCACCGGAAGATCGATCAAATTTATGTTGAATTGATCCAAATTTGCATACATTATTCAATGCAACATAAATTTAAGCAATCAAAAGAACTTTTTCGATGCGAGTCGATAATTTGGCACAGTTAAATCACTTCTTTCAGAAACTGAATTCTTCTATTCAACTTTTACGGTATGCTATTTCAGGATTTAGAAAGAGAAGAAAGGAAAAGCGCATGAAAAAATTGCCAACTGCCATAAATAAATCGTAATACCTCCTCAAGGAGTATACTGTCAAAGTGTATCACTCATTTTATTGAATTTTTAGTGATTTCATTCGTTAGCATGTGTTGTTTTGAAATGGACACACTCCCGACTAAGGTCAGGAGCAATCGTGAGCTCTTTTCACCAATTCTTTTCTTGTGAAGTAATTTTAATCTAATCACAATCTTGACTTCAGAATGAATTTATTTTGAAAATATGAATCAAATCCTAAAAACGGAAGACTTTAAATCGTTTCACTTTGAGTTTAAAATATACGACAGAACCTTTTTTCAATTTTCAACCTGAGAGAAACACTAATCGGGGCACCAGTCTTTCTAGAGATCTCATTGCAACACATCGGTATAAATATCCTATCGCAGCACATTAATTTTGTGTCCGTTGAAATTAACAAATCAGTCATAGATTTTTTATTTAGACGATTAATCAGAAGTCTCGCACTTCCTATTTGCTGTTGGCAACTTCGTTTCTTGCAAGAAGACAATAGGTTGAAAGGAAGATGAAGAAAGGTGGAGGGAATATATGAGCAACCAGAGGCAATCGTCTATATACGATGATGAGTCTCCGAAAAGCATGTACACTTAGTAACAGGCTTGTGTCAATGTTTGTCAAGCAAATACTACCGAGCTAAATAAACACGACGTATGAACTCTCAGACATTGCCAAATTGCTTTCGATAAAATATTTATTTAAAAAAAAAATTATCAACATTTCTCCTTGAACTTTTCAGATATTTCAATTTAAATACAAATGAAATATCTTTAAAAAAAATCGAAAGAAAAATATTCCAAAGATTCTCTGAAAATTCGTATTTTATCAACCGAAACTCGGCAACGTTCGATGGCTCATACTGTGTTCTTTCTAAACACGGCAGAATGCTGAAGAGTGAGAGTGAAAAAGCCGGCGTTTCAACAAAAACGGAAGACGCCACTAGAGCGTGTTCCGTTGAGGCTGATTTATGGTGAGTCTCTGAGCAAACCTGTTGGATCACTTGTTTTGAACGGATGCCACGGCACGCGACACGAAATTTTTTTCACCCACAACTGGAGTGGATCGATTCAATGTGAGGAAGTGAGGGGTATCGTATTAAAAGATTTATACCGGAACGACTGGTGAGAAAATAGGTATACTTAGGTGCAATCAAGTAGGTATGCTTAAAGATCGGTGTTGTGTTTGGATAGGTTACGATTTGATCAATGATAGGGTGATCAAACTTTGTGGTTTGAATGATTCTCTGAGGGAATGTTTTATATTTTATGCTTTTTAACTTAAAATCATGGAATCAAATTATTACTTGAAATCTGAGAAAGTTCAGCCATTGAGGTTGAAATACCTCATTGGCATACCCATTTGAAATACCTCTCTTTTTAAGTGTACCCCATATTTTGGAACCGCATTGAATTGAAATTATTTCTGAAATCATAAATTGTGGTAAAAGAGACCTCTCATCATTGCACTCGATGAAAAATAATGTCAAAATTAAAAGTTTTTAGACGAATTTAAGTTTTGCATTAGGAACTCTGAAAAATTCACAAGCAAGGATAATCGTAGCCAAGGAAATTTTTGGGAAGAGCCTAACTTTTTCATTTAAATTCAAATGTCAGAAAAACTACTTCGAATATTTAGTTTGGATGTAACTTTTTGCCCAAAAAGATTCAGGGAATTGCACGGATTTATAATTAAATGACGGGTGGATGAAACATTATTTTATGGAACTTTTATTTTTGAGAAACTTTTTTGGTCATTTTGAGACATGGACGGGGGAGACCTTTAATATTATAATTTGGAAGATTTGCACCTGATTAGGTTTTAGGATCTTCATTTCATGAAAAGTATACTTTAAGCTCTAATGGTAAAAAGTCGTTTTTTAAAGAAAAAAAGTGCTTCGAGAGAAATTTTCGGAATTTGCCCACAATGGGGCTTTTTACTTATTTTTTTTTTTTTTTTTTTTTTTTTTTTTTTTTTTTTTGATTTTCATCCAATAACTCTTCTAGGACTCTACCAAAATCGAGTATTTGATGCCTTTTTGAGAAGGGCTATATTAAATTTGTGCACTGAGAAAGAAATGTGTGAAGTTAAAAATTTTACAATAGAGCATCGCATGCCTAAGACTTGCATGTGGCATTATGTCATGATATATTTTACTTGTTTATTATTATTTAAATATAAACGCGATGAAGCTTACTGACTTAGTTAATTTATTAGTGTATTTTCCGAAGGAAATACACTATTTTTTACCTTCGATTTTAAGTTAAATTAAATCATATTGTATCTTTGGCTTTTCTCACGATTATTTTTTTCTCTTTTATTTCCCTCGAAGTAACGTTATTCGTTACGGTAAATCATTCTTTGAAACAAGCGATCCACAGGTTGTTCCCAGTATTACCCGGAAACCTTTTTGAAGACAGTCGTCATTCACACTTCATCACAAACAAAGACAAAACGCCGTTGTAACACTGGTGTTGATGAGAAAAAAAAATAATCCATTTGTGCACTTTTCCACTCACGTACAACTGCAATGCGACCGACCCGGGGCAAAATCACAAGGGGACATGAAATTTTTTCGGAAAAAGGACTTTTACGTTTTCTACTCGGAGAGAAACACACGGTTCGCTCCTCACGCAAATCATACATCGACTCCCGAAACTGCAAAAATATCAATGTTGGGGTGGATTTTTCCCCCTTAAGATTTATCGCGGGAAGAAAAAAGGGAAAAACGAGAAATTTTTTCGCGAATTTTGATCACGATAGCACTAGGGGTGGATTTCCCCCCTTGAGATTTATCGCGGGAAGAAAAAAGGGAAAAACGAGACAATTTTTTCGCAAATTTTGTTCACGATAGCACTAGGGGTGGATTTTCCCCCTTAAGTTTTATCGCGGGAAGAAAAAAGGGAAAGACGAGAAAATTTTTTCGCGAATTTCGATCACGATAGCACTAGGGGTGGATTTCCCCCCTTAAAATTTATCGCGAGGAGAAAAAAAGGGAGAGACGAGAAAATTTTTCGCAAATTTCGATCACGATAGCACTAGGGGTAGGTTCCACAGGGGGTAATATCCGTAAATCCAAGCGCTGAGCAGGATACTCGAAGCACACACACTGAAAAAAACCACGTGACAAACACTGTGAAAAAAAGCACGTGTGAGAAGAAGTGGACACTAACCACAAGACTCCGCGTCCTCATGGCTCGTTCACTGACATCGACTGAAAAAGAACGAGATGCTCTCAGCGTCTCCGCTGCAGGAAAACTGATGGGGTTCCGCTCGACGGCACCGGGTTATATACACTTTCCCACCGCCCCTCAAGGCCACAGGGCGCGCTGCTCGCAGCTTTCTTCGGCGCTCGCGCTAGTGGCCGGAGCTTTGGCCGCCACCACTTTCACACATGCCGGCCCCGGCCAACCAATGCGGAATCAGAAACATGACCTTATGTTATGCAACCGGTGAGTATTGTCAGCGCCGGGCTTTACTCCTTTTTTTACCGGCCACCGCACCATGCCAGAGGCCTCGCCGCGACGTCCCTACTCGCGCCCCGCTAAAAGTCGAACTTCGATTCATCGATCCGGCGCATGGTCGCAAGAGTGGGTCACCTTTGCTCCGAGTTCCGATCTCCGGTCCGAGGAACTTAAAAGCCCATTGCAGTTAAAGGTCGAAAGGTCGTCGAAAAAGTTGCTCTACTTTTCAGTGCTCTCATTTAGTTCTGAGTTACGGAACTTTTGAGATTTTCCCCGGAAATTTTGAACTTTTTGAAATGTTCCGGATCTTTTGCATTTTCCGGAACTTTTCCCCCGCTAAAAGTCGAACTTTGATCCATCGATTTGGTGCTTAGTCGTAAGAGTGGGTCACCTTTGCTCCAAATTCCGATCTCCGGCCCGAGGAACTTAAAAGCCCATTATAGTTAAAGGTCGAAAGGTCCTCGAAAAGGTTGCTCTACTTTTCAGTGCTCCCATTTCCTATAGCTTACTAGTTCCGAATTTCGGAACTTTTGAGATTTTCCTTGAATTTTCCCCGAGAATCTTGAATTTCCCGAAACGTTCCGGATCTTTTGCATTTTCCTCAACTTTTTCCCCGCCAAAAGTCGAGCTTTGATTCATCGATCCGGCTCATAGTCGCAAGAGTGGGCCATCCTTCCGCCGAGTTCCGATCTCCAACCCGAGGAACTCAAAGGCTTATTACAGTTAAAGGTCGAAAGGTCGTCGAAAAAGTTGCTCTACTTTTCAGTGCTCCTATTTCCCCGAACTAACTAGTTCCGAATTTCGGAACTTTTGAGATTTTCCTGATTTTTTCCCGGAAATTTTGAAATTCCCGAAATGTTCCGGATCCATTGCATTTCCCGGAACTTTCTCTGAACTTTTTTTTTAATTTTGTTTTTGGGGATGGGGCTTCTCTTCCTTTATTGATAGTTTAGGAATCTACAGCCATCTATTCAGAACTTTTGAAAAAATAAAAAGAGTCCTGGAACTTTTGACGGTCAAGAGTGGGAGAAATTGGAACAAAAAAGTTCCGAATCCTGGAACTCTTGGCGGACATGGAATGGGAGCACTGCTACTTGTGGAGATGAAAAGATCAAAACTAAAGTTAAAGGTTTTAGCTAGAGTACCCATATAAGGAGAGTACAGACATGTCGAAATATGGAGCTCTTAGGGGTCAAAAGGGCAACCAACCCTCTCGCACAAACATGTCACTGCCAATTTTTAGAATAGGCTAAAAAGTCCCTCGCATAGGGGATGCAGGAGTATTAAAGATAGGAATTCCAAGAAAAGATGATCCAGTCTTGCTTTCAAACTTCAAAATGGCTCCTCACTAAAAAGAGAGATACTTTTTTAGCGAACGTTGACCTTTGAACTTCAAAAGCTTTAAATTCTGCAGAGGATGCAGGTAAAAGGGAGTTTCGAAGAAAGATTTCAAACTTTGAATTTTTCATCAAATGAAGTAGGACAACTTCCTCGACGAACTTCCGATATCTGATTTTTAGGTGCTTTTAATTTCCTCGCACAGAAGATTCAGGTAAAGCGGATTTCTGACCAAATGTGACTTACCTACCTTGGCTTTGAGACTTTTGACACCACTATTTCCAAAAACAGTAGAGCTTTTCCGAAGATCTGTTAAACTTTGATTTTGACCATTTTTTTAGTTTTTAAGTTTTTCGCTGGGAAACGTGAGTAAATGGTCAAATTTTCAAGAATCATTAGCCCCCACCAGCCATTTTGAAGTTTGAAAGCAAGACTGGATCATCTTTTCTTGGAATTCCTATCTTTAATACTCCTGCATCCCCTATGCGAGGGACTTTTTAGCCTCTCGAAGTCAAAGGTCTAAAGTTCTGCAGAGAAGTTGTTCTACTTTTGAAAATAAAAATGTAAAATGTTTACAGCATGTCAGCAGTAACAGGTCATCTTTGCCAGTGACTTCGATCCTTCACCTTCATTTCCTGCACAGGGACCTTTATAGTCCTTAAAGTTAAGTGTCAAAAAATCTTTGAAAAAGTCGTACTTTTTTCAGAAATGAAAAATTTGAAAGTTTGAAAACAAGACTAGGTCTTGTTTTATTCATAAATGGCCATACATTTTTCAGAGGTTTATGATTGTTTGACTTAGACCATCTTCCCTTGTATCATTAATTAGGTTCGCAATGTTAGCTCCGTTCATTCCTATACAAAAGGTCGAAATTCGAGCTATCGGAGTACGATTCCGTGTCAGGTTTGAGTGGAATTTATTCCTGTATTTGATATTCGGCACAGGGCACAAGCCACTTGCTCGGCCAAGTTTGGGCCTAATTTAGCGCTGAAATTCGATTCCTTCGCTGGCCGGTTATGCCCGCGCACCAACACGTAATCTGTCCGTTTTTGTGTTGCCAGCACTGGCAAAGTATTCTCACTTCCGAGAATTTGAAAGCTATTCGGCGTTGATTTTGAACACACATCATCGGACGCAGTGCGCGTGAAAGATCAAACGTTAATTTTTAAATTTTGTGCAATCTATCGCTCCAGCTTTTCTGCCTTTTTATTATTAGTTTAAAACAGTTTCAGACATGTCAGAGTCAATATTTTAATAACTTGATCATTTTTGCTAACTTCATAAATGTAAGTCCTTTTTAATTGGCTATGAAAGGAATTTAAGGTTTATCTAGTACTGATCAATCAAATCCCGGCTTTCGTTTACTTTTCTACTCCTGCGTTGAAGTCTCTCAATCTCTTCGTTGTGATTGTTAGTTTCATTTTGATTTAAAAATGTGTAAGTTGCCAATTTTACGTCATCATGGTAGGCACGTTTAAGCAGAGGTAGGTCCAGCGGGCTGATTGTCGAAATTGATAGACAAAGCGGTAGACAAAGCGGACATAATAAGTATGGAAGGATCCTATTGGTTATTTTGGGTGGTTTTTATAGACTACGGGAGAAAATGATGGACTAACTAAGGGGTCCCTTGTAGGTTGCCGTTAGTTAGTCTATTACCTACCTCCTTTGTCCATTGCAACCACTCGCTTCCACCAATAGGATCCCTCCATATCTTTTTTGATTCTTTGTCTATATAGCTTTGTCTATCAATTTCGACAATCAGCCCGCAGGAGGTCAGGGAGTTGTCTTCCTCTCGGAAAATTACTAAAAATCTTCTTCCCCTCTCCTCAAAAAAGGAGGAAAACGTCACTACCTTGATAATTGTTGATAATTTGATAAATGCATGTCATGTCTGATTGGTTATACGAGGGAGATAAGGTGCATTCAGTACTGATAAATAAAATACCGGCGTCACTCTACTTTTATACTCTCGCGGTTAAGTCTCTTGATATGTTTGTTTTTCATCAATAACTTTTCCATAGATATTGCATGCATCGTAAAATAATTATGCGCCCGTTTTCTTTATACCGTTTTCAATATGACCCAAGAAACGGTCCTTCGAAGGTGCGAAGCGTTCAGCTGGCTAATTTCTTAATTTTATAGACAAATCGATAGACGAAGAAGACATAGGGAGTATAGAGCGATCCTATTGGTTGAAACAGATGGTTCTCATAGACTAAGGGGGGAGGTGATGAACTAACTGTAGGGCTTCTTGTCGGTTGCCGTTAGTGATAATCTATTCTATTACTTGCCTCATTTGTCCGTTGCAACAACCCGATTTCACTAATAAGATCGCCCCATATTCCCTCTGTCTTTAATGTCTATAGCTTTGTCTATCAATTTTATTAATTATAGTCCGCCGGAGGTCAAGAGTCATAGCAACCAGGGGGAGCACCCCTACTAAAACATGAGAGCCCCCTAAAAAACAGAGCAGAAGGCTGATTGTTGACATGTGATGGACACAGAAAACATGAAAAGTATAGAGTGATCATACTTGTTGAAATGAGTGGTTCTTGTATAGACTGAGGGGTAAAATGATGGACTAACTATAGAGTCTATGGTGGGTTCCCGTTAGTTAGTCCATTACCTTCCTCCTATGTCCATCGCAATCAAATGATCTACCTTTAGGATCCCTCCACATCCCTTTTGTCCTATTTGTCTATAGCTTTGTCTATCAATTTCAACAACCAGCCCGCTATTAGAGGGGCGTCTCCGTATACGACCTCATAATCTCATAAGAAATTGAGTTGGATCCGTATAAGGCTAAAGAGGCTCATACGTATGGGATCATCCGGACCGCGGCTAAGCACCCGTGGAAACCAGTCGGCTGGAAGTGAGCCGAGAATCAGCTGATTGAAATCGAGAGTGCTGAGCGCGACGCGCGTCTGCGCCTTCGCACCCTCGGCTCAGCTCGGCGCGGCGTCGCGGCGCGCTGATGACCTTGCGTCTGATGGAGTGAAACCTTGGCTCGGTACTGGAACGAAAAGTCAATGATCGGAACGGACCAACCCCTTTCCTCACGCAGGAAAACTCCGCGTCAATAGCTCCTCACCGCGTGGGTATAGCCCTCGCAGCGTTGCCGATTGGGATCTGAGACGACGATGCATATTATAAAGCCTTATAGCACCGCCAGAGTCAGGTGTATCTGCGTAAAAAGTGAAAATCAAGGCATCCTGCGGGTTGATTGTTGAAATTGATGGGCAAAGCTATAGACAAAGAAGACAAAAGAGATATGGAGAGTGCCTATTGCGCTATTACGCTCCTTTCCCACTTCAACGGATATTCAACACTGGAAAAAGTATATGTATCAGAATGCTTAAATTCGTACCTTGTCTAGTGGTCCATTAAAGGGTACACTGGAAAAGAAAACACATTGGCTTTAGAGTCCAGACTCTTAAAAACATCAACAAGAGAAAATACTCTTGATTCAATCGGATTTTTGCTTAAATCAAGAACCAAGCCTCTTAATTTGAGCGGAT